TACAATCAGCAAACTTGTTGTTGACAAATAGCGTCTAGTATCGATTTTGGTCGAACTTTGGTTTCTGTCGACCAATATAACTTGCGTCAATGATCCGACATCGTTCCGCCATACGGTAAATAGACCTAGGCTAGCACCTCTTATAAAGTTTGGTTAAAAAACAAGAACTAGATCATTCAAAATTACGAAGGAATAAAAAAAGTACGTAATAATTGAGTGAACTTTTATGTTTTTTTTTTCTCAAAAATTTCACAAACTTGTTCAATTTACCTAAATTTTGTTAGTTTCATTAGTACAGGGTGTTCCAAAGCCTATGAGATTTTTTTAAAATCTGTCATTTCTAACTGAATTGACGTGGACACATGAAAATTTAACACGCTATAGACGAGATGTGGAAATTTTTATAAAGTATAAATTATTCACTTCAAGAGATGTTGAAAATGTTTCCCGCCATATTCTTGACATTTGATCATTCGCTTGTGACTTGAGGCTGTAGCAGCAGAAATCTGATTCTGTATCATCCCACGGCAGAAAATTTCAACGCTTTTGATCAGTTCGGCAGTGGTCCTGGGGTTTTCGCGATGAACTGTAGCACAACCTTAACCCCGGAACCAGTAGTCAAGGCAATTAAGGTCTGGGCTTTGAGCGGGCCAATGAAATCAACAACTACGACTGATAATGCGGTCACCAAAAACAGTGTGTAGAAACTGTAACACTGGAGGATTTGTATGGCAAGTTGCGCCGCCTTTTTGAAACCAAAGTGTCCTAATGTCTCGCCGGTGTTCCACAAGGGGGCGTTCTTGGTTCCTGAGCATGTTGAGATAATCAACTTGGTTGACCGTTATTGTTCTTCCATTCTCATCTTTGAACCAGAAAGGGCCCTTGATTTCGCCTTGAAGAAGGCCAACCCAGCACATTAGTCTACTTTTGCCCTGATATCGAGTTTATTCGAAATCAAGAGATTTGCAACGTGCCCAAATCCGATAGTTTTGGCTGTTCGACTCTGGGTCCAAAAACGACGTTGTTCTTCACTCCAGAAAACCTTTGAGTGAAAGTTTCGATCCTGAGTTAAAAACCACAAGTAAATTGTTTCTCGCATTTCGTAACTTCTTTCTGTTAATTTATGCAGTTTTTTTACTTTGAATGGAACAAACTTTAAGTCTCGTTTCAAAGTCTGCCATAAACTGGCTGAGGGGATATCAAGTGCCCTTGATGACGTTCGTATGCTTGATTTGGGGGTGTTTACTTAGTGTGTCGGAACTCTCGGTTAACTTTAATTTCGAATCTTTGATCGACCACCTCTGTTCCTAACCTGGCCAAAGGCCCGTCTTGAATCCGTTGCCATTCACGTTGAAAATCGGTCAAAGTGAACTGGCTTCTTTGCCTTCCCCAAATGGCATATATTTCAAGAATTTTTTGCTTGACAGCAATTGCTGTTAATCCTTTTGCAAACTGCAGGATAATGAATTTGCGCTGCCCATCGCTGAATTTCATTTTTTGATAAAAAATGAACAAGATTGAAGAAACTGGCATGAACAATTCAATGAAGCATGATTAAAAATCAAGAAAATGGCGGAAAGCTTTTTCTGTGTTTCTCCAAATTGTTGTTTTTTCATGGATTCTCAAAGTTCCACATCCCATCTATCACCCTGCGCAAAATCGGACTCATGCGTCATTTCAGTCGAAAATGACAGCCTTTTCAAAAGTCTCATTGGTTTTCAAACACCCTGAAGTTCCTTCAGCAAGCATAATTCTAATGTTCCGTTCTCAGACCCTTCTGCTTCAAGACCATTCTGCTCATTGAGCGAATAGTAGTCAGTAGTCTTCATTTTGTGCATCGGCTGAACAACAGTATTGATGCATCGACTTGTATCACTATGAAAACTCTTTTAAGCAAAAAAAAAAATCTCCTCAATAAATCTTCATGAAAAATGCTACTTTTAAAAATTTCGTTAAGTATCTGTGAAAAAAACTTTTTTAAAAAAAACTTTGCATTGCTTTGCGGAGTTTTTTATGAAAATGACTTGTTTTCTTTCAGTCAGAAAATCAAATTCTTCCCTTACTATGAAAATGTCATAAATAGAATTTCCAACAAGGGAGTTATTACTACGGACAGATCAAGTTTCTTGGAATAAGGAACTAGCCGTTTTCCCGGAAACATCTTTTGTAAGAAATTGTTGATCTTTCTTTTTTTTATTGAAACCCAATAGCTTCGAAGTTACTTCCCAGGAGGGAAGTGGACTGGAGGCTAGGCGGTTGCTTTTATAGCCAAATGTTGAGGTTGGTGTCTCGGCAGGATCTTTTTTCATTTTGAATGCTTGTTACTGTTCGTGGTCTGACTTAGGTTAAAAATGAAACTGAAAAAAAAAAATGCAGGAAGTATATTTCTAGCTCAAAGATTCAAATTAACACTTGTGAGGGAGGCAGGGGAGTCTTGGCGGTATATAGATTGAGTGAATAAATTTGTTGACCTAACTGAAATAAATTGTTCACATTTTAGCTGTTTGGTATTCTGCAAATTGTTGAGATAAAATTTAGTCCTTATTTTCCAGATAGATTTTTTCATGAACTGAATATGCACTAAATGAAAAGTAGTTTAGAATTTGTATTCAAATTTAATGGTAGTTTATTTCGATTGAAAAAATTGTGATGGCTTGGAAAACTGAATGTCAAACTCGTAAAAATTGATAGTCCCACCAGAAAAGTATAGCCCGCATACTAGTAAAATCTTATTGTGGGGCTCTTTTGGTTACTTAGCGGGGAGGGTGGATAATGGCAAAAAAACCGTTCACTTTTGATTAATTCAACGTTAATGAAAAATATCACTCTGTTTTTAGCGGCATTATCTAACCACGAACAAATTTCAAGTCATTTTGAAGTTCGGAGGAAGCGCCTGATAGCTTGCGCTCGGGTTGGCTTTTTTGCCATACAGTTTCAAGTGTTTTTAAATAGCTAGCTTTTAAGGAAATTTTAATATTCTATCTAAAAGACATTGATGCCAGGGCTCAATATTAAAAAGATGTTTCACGTGTGATAATTTATGGTTAAATTATGGCGAAATGAAATTAATCTTGCCTTGATCACCTATTAAAATGTTAGTGTCAAAATTAATTGCTCCTTTTTGAAAAAAGAAAACCCGTAACTGGGCAAAACACTGATTTTATTATTGCCCTTTAATTTATCTCCAACATTTTTTGGTAAAATAAAACTCACAATCTTATGAACTTTAGGCTGTTTATATCAAACTTAAAGTGTTAAACTTTGAGTTGTGTATGGAAATAATAAGACCAATTAACTTATTGCCTCAATCAATTTGGAACGATTTTGTATTGCGGAATAATTACCAAGTAGACAATACAGACAAATAGTTACGACATACTTGCAGAAGAACACTATAGTCATAGGCACACCAGTCTGAGCACATATAGAAGAAGAGATTGAACCCCCCAAGGAGCAATGAGTTTTTTGAAGTTAGCCTGAATAAAAAAGAGCTTGTTTTTTCCTGACTTTCTTCGAAAATCAGACCAATGAGTCAAGACATATTTTGCACTTATAATTATACTATTTTGCACTTAAAATAGCGCAAAAGATTTGTCTTTTTTTTTCAATTGAAAAACAAAAATTCAAAAAAATCCAAGTCTTTTCATTTTTTTGCCCATTTTAAAACATTTTTTCGACTAAAAATTTTCATATACATTAAGAGCAATCCGAGACAATTTAGAGCGTCCACCTGGTACAACAGTCTTGGTTCTTTTTGAGTTGAAGAAGGCCAATTGCTCAAATTAGTCTGCCAATTAGAAGTAATATATTTGAAAAAAAAAACTGAAATCTGCATGAAGGGTAGTTGAAGTCTGAAAACTTTCTTACACTAGATTTAAATCGCAAAAAACTCATAAATCTTATTTCAATCAAAATCTTTTGCTCAAAAAGCTCAATTTTTTTAAATATTTTTGATATTTTTTAATTCTTATTGGGACCAACGCTATGTAAAAAACAGAAGAATGTAAGAGAATGTAAGATGTAAAGTGATAATGAGAGCCAATGGCTTGCCACGGTTTATTTGGAATAGTTCAATTAGCCGCTTACGCTTTAGTGGGATGAAATGTTTTAGACTGTGCTATTTGGGTTTGAGTTCGGGACTACTTTGAAATCAACAATTCATATTAGAAAAATTAACGCGCGATCATTTTTTTTCAATTTCGAGTCTTTATGTTTGCATTATAATCAGTTGATTAACAAAGTTCCGCATCTTGGATTGCGATATTTTTTTGTGTTTTTTAAGGAAAATTCTCGAATTTGCTTAGGCTCAAAAATATACTTTTTCGCGGATTGGTTTTTGATTTCTTTTTAAATTAGTTAATTTTCGTTGCTGAAAGGAAAACAAACTCCACTATCGAACAGCTAACGTAAAGGTCACAAGAGAATTCAATGGCTTCTTGTGTCGAAAGTAGAATTTAATTATCAAAACTCCCAGCGAAATAAAAATCAAACATAAAAATCAGCATAGTATCCGACTATCTATAATTTTATACATCAAATTATACATAGTATCCGACCATCAAGCATTTGTATAAAATTGAAAAGTCGATGAAAAAATTTTGAAAAAAGGAAGAAAAATCGGAAAAAAAATTGCGTTCTAACGCGTGTTATGAAAACGCAAATCGCTGGTTAATTACCCCAGTTCAATCAAATGATTAATTTTCAAACCCCCATATTTTTCCAAAAATGATTACAGTTGAATATTATTTTTTAACTTTGAGCTCAAGGCATCCATATCTTTCAGACGGTTTGAAATAAAAATCACTCAAAGCATAAAAATTCAAATCAGCTTCTCCGAAAGAAGGAATAACCCAAATCCATAAATCCATAGTATTTGGAGTAATTTCTGAAATTTTGTGACAAATTTTTAGAGCATTTGATTTAATCAGAATTTTTATTGTAACAAGCAGCTTGGTTTTGCACCACGAATATTTATAAAATGAAACTTTATTAATTATCAAAGAAAGTCATTTTACCTAAAATAAAATACAAATTCTACAAAAATTTGCCTAATTTTGAATCAAAATTGCACAAAAGTGATAAAAACAGAGCTAACTAACTGCAAAATTTTAGCAGAGTACATTATTCAGATTATATCATAGATAAGGGTCAAAGTTCAAAGGTCAGTTGCTTTCATTGTATCACCCTCCCAATTATTGGCTAGAGACGCGAACTTCTGCGTGTGCCAAAACACGTAGCCCCAGTAGACCACATTGAAGAGTAAAAAAGAGAGTGGGAACCCTATTTGGGCACATCTGTCTATCTTCAGATTAGTCCTCTTGTATCTGGGGATGTGGAGGGGGGATATTCCGGGGGCGCCGAAGTTGGGATCTCGGAAGAAGTCGGACAGGGCGAACTCGATCATGGCGGCGATGACGAAGCTGAAGCTGGCCCAGATGTAGACGTCGAGCAGTCTCGGTTCCCGACTCACTGCCATGTTAGTCGTGTCCGTTTGACCTCTGCAGATAGTGAGCATGGAAAGAACTGTCATCACCCCGACTGACGCTCTGAAGCAAATCAAATCCTGTTAAAGCCAATTTTGAGCATCTTTATTGGTCAAAGAACCAGGCTGTTTTTAAGGCTAATTAATCTTTTTACACGGTTGTTACGTGGAGAAAAATTGAATTCGGATGTAAAAACAGCTGTCTATGGTTAATCAATTTTGTTCAGATTCGTTGACCAAAAGTGTAATGCCAGCAATTTGACACTAACTATAAAAACTGAGATGCATCTCTTCATTTTGAGAAGCTTTTTCTTCGATCAATTCAATCAATTTTAACTTAAATTCATCGATCAACAAAACCAGATAGAAATTTTTGAACATCAAATTCAAAAAATGACTGCTTTTTTGAAATTTGTAGATATGATCCATTTAGCAGCTAACTGGTTGACAGGAAGTAAACCTGAAAAGCGAATACGCAGGTAGAGCTTCATATTTGCCAATCAATTTTGGACCAAGTTAACATCCTCCCCCCTAAACAAGTTTAGGGGGGAGGATGTTAACTTGGTTCTAAGTTGTGAATTTTCAGCCAATCAGAAATCAGAATCGAGCATTTTACATGCAGCGCTTAGCAAATTTGCAAATTTAACTTAATTTAAGCGCTGGGGTGGAGGATCTTAACTTGGTCTATTAGGGGGGGGGGGGGGGGGGGGAGTTTCATTGTTTCTGTTTAAAAACTTGATCCCCAATTTTTACCAACATAGGGTTAGTCAAGTTTGTCTCGAAACAGAAAACAAATTTTCAGTCTTTTACCCGTGGTAATTTAAACATGTCTCCTTTAAGCATCTCAATCATTATCACCATCGCCATCTGTAGAATTTCTCTTTTTCCCTTTGGATTACCCAAAAGTTAATTTCAAACTCGTTTCCGTTCCTGGTAAAACGGTGCTCTGAACTGGGGAAATCGACAGCAAAAGAGGGTGAAATTCGATTTGAATTTAATGATAAATCAAGCAGAAGACAGCGACACATTGATCTGATAAATTCATCAAACGATTGAGCGATTTCTGCTTATGTGGCGTGGCGATGTTGGGTGTTCAGGTTGTGATGCTGCAATTACTTTGCCTCCATTTAGGTCAGTGTTTGATTATAACCAGACCCTTTTGGTTATAACCTGGCTCAAAATAACCACTAACTTGCGTTGCAATATAGAGCAAATTCATTTGGTCTATATTGCAACGCAGCACAATGGTTATTTTGTGCCATATTATAACCAATATGCTTTTTCCCCCTTTGAATGATTTCATCTACCATAATAGAATGATGACATAACAGAATAAACAATTACATAAATTGACTCAGAAATGCTAAATCTTTGAAAAGTAGTTTAAATTTGACGTCTCCCTCTGAAACTTCGCTCCACATCTGCGCTTGATGAGAGACTTCATAAAACATGACTTTGAAAATTTGGGCCAATCAGTTTCCAGTTTATTACAACACTAAAAAAACTTCCATTTTTTTCTTCCAAAACTTCCAAAAAACCTCCCCGGTGCTTCTCAATACAGGACCAACAGTGGTGGACGGGAGATGTCATCCATTTTAGGGTAGTTGATCCCACTTTGAAGAGGGGATTGACACTGGGACCTCTCCAACCATGAACGAAGTGGGATTCGAACTCACGACCTTCTTCATTTTTGGGAACAAAAAAGCAGTGAACTTAATCTTGCCATTCTCGCAATTTTTTTGATCTCAAGAGCATGTATAACTACTTTGTCACTCGTTATATGTTGGAACAGAGCTGCTCGTTGTGCAGGATCAAACATTCTGATTGCCTAGAAAAAATTCAAACCGCTTTCGTGAGGCGTGAAACGTTGCTGAAAAATATCAGAGGAACCAATATAGCTATCTTGAAAAAAAAAACTGCTCTACGAAGCTAAAGTATACTTTTTTGTGGATTGGGAGCATATTCACTATCAAGGCCACTTTTTACCTTTCTTTGTTTTTGTGTCATTTCCTTTGATTGTGTCGACAAACTTTTAAGATGTTTAAAGACTTGTCTCTGGTTTGCATTCCAGAGATCTACACCGCTCGCCAAATGGCAATAGCTGCCCAGAATCAAAACAAACCAATTATAACATCATTAGATGGCGTACAAATTGGTTTTTCAACGTTTTCTTATGCTGTATCCGTCAGTTTTTCCATTTTTTTTCAAAGCTTATGGTTTTTGGGAGTCACGGTATAAATCTGCCAAATATCTTCGCATAAGTCAATTATATAATGGATTCACATTAGTGTTTCTCAAACTTTTTTTGCTACTTCCGGATGTATCGCCGCGGAAATTACCAGCTAAATGTTTCAGCCACTTGTTACAGTTTTTTCGAAATATTTTGTATCGATTCAGCTTTTCTAAAGGAATATTTGCCTGCAGACATATACTAATAAACCATAACAAAGTAATTTTTACAAGCATAAATTGCAAAAAAAAATTGTAAATTAATACTGGGTAACTGGCCTGTATACAATATTATCCAATTTTCAGATGTTTCACCAATGATAAATGATCACAAATTGTAGATAATTCTGATGAGATATTTTCATAGGAAACCTTGAGGTGAAGGCTGTTCTAAAAGCATGAATGGGTGGGTTTCTGCGTGTCCCTTAGTTTATGGGACCTAAAATAAAAATCAGTCTAGCATAAGTCCTAAATTTTTTATCTTGAGTTCTGATTGGTTGTTTGCTTTAAGCAACTGATTTGATGATTAATTGTTTATAGTTCAAACAGCAGCATTAAATCAGGCGGCCAAAAAAAGTGTCGAGCTTGTCAACAGAGGGTAAAATTTTGTGTGATATTCAGAGACCCTAATCAATACTCGGCTAATTCATTGACCGATTGAATTGATTTGGGACATAAGCGGCATATTAAAAAAGCTCAAATATAAGTGGCTGCAGTTAAATACGCCGATTTGCATTGAAAATATTTTTTCACCTATGAAACCGTCAATTTAGCAGTGATGTGCTATAGAAAAGGGCAGAATAATTGAAAAAATGCTATAGTTTTTTTTGTGAACGATGTAGATTTTTTCCGGGGAGTCGTCTCCTCTAAGCATGCTTTCACTCTACTTAACGGCCGCAGAGTTTCTCCCTTTTATACCGTGTAATAGTGGGAGACACTAAGACACGACATTATCCACAATCCCGAAAGGGTTATGTTGGTGGTCAGACTAAATCGGCCGATCAAAGGATTACACAACTTCCCCCCTTAATTTAGGCTCTTTTCGGCTCTCCTCTTGCGCTTTCAGCTAGTTCAGCAAATCGTGGGCAAAATACGTATATTCTCAATCGCACAGAAAGTAAAAGCAATTTACAGTGCCCTTAATGAGTTAATTTCTATTTAGCTACTTCTAGAACGAAGACCGCGTTTCGTTCCGTTCAATCGCTTCGTTATCTCGCGTGTCAGTTTTCGCTTGACGCAACTCTAAACTCGCCTACTCCAGCAGCGCAACTCGCTCACACAATTAATTCAACCCGGTACTAAATTCGGGTTGAAGCGCAACTCGCTCGCACAAAGTGTTCAGCCCGGCACGAAACCAATTAGCTCGCTCACACTACTAGTTCATTCCGGTACTAAACTCGGGTTCCAGCGCAACTCGCTCACTAGCAATTATTATTTTCTACTCTGACTGAGAATCAACTACTCCTAATAGTAGCCAACCCCTGTTCTCTTCTCTTGCAGGCTCTCCGTTACCCTCCAATTCCTTATCTTTCTTTATACTTTAGTTTTAGTCAAGTCACGCCATTCCCTATCAGTCCTGACATCCGCCTAAATCACCCATCCGCACATGTTTAAGACTATTTCCGTTCCGCTGTCAACTCTGCCATGTGCCAACTTCGGTTTTTTTATCAATCTTTTCACGCTTATTAGATACCCGGTATGCGGTAGGTGTCACATTTGAAGAGAAAACAAATGTCATACGATTCTAATCAACTAATTCTCAAACTCAGCGAACTTCAGCTCTCGGGTTCAACTCAACCTCCAAACCATGCTATATTTACTCAGTGACCCTCCCAGGTCTTTATTTCAATTATCCCGTTCGTTCGTACTATTTAGGAGACTTAATTCTCATGCTACCGTCCTATTACCATCAGATTGCTCTGGGACTACTTTTCTTTAGTCTCGTTGAATTGCTGTTACTAGATCACTCACCAAGCTATACTGAACCCAATTTTTACCAACTCCACTTTGAATTAACTCTACTACTCCAAGGTTGCATTGTAAAAGCTATATCTCTATCAGCTTCTGCTCTAGTTCCCAATATATAAGTTTTTCTCCCAACTTTTAGCAAGGTGACCCATTCTCATTTCCAGGAGTTGGGCTGGGGAATACGCCACTTACTGGTGTTAATTTTGGGGTTTTCTATGCATTTTTGGGGTCAAGACGACCAAAAGTCAACTTAAGGTCACTCAGGGGGTCAACCGGGGTCAACCGTCCATGTTTGAGTTCAGAATCCCATGGGGATCCTTACTACCAAGTTTTATCCATATCCCATTAATACTTCACAAGTCATACCATTTCTAAGGTGCATTATAATTTTTTCGCAAAAGTGCTATTAACACCGGAAGGAGTCGCCGGAGGGTTTTCACTCACAAGGCGTCTTTTTCGGTGTTCCTACCTTATGCCCATTGCCGCAATAAAATCATTATGCCACCGTTCATCATTTTGCTTAAGCTGTCTATTTCCGGTCTAGGGGTGTTTTTTCAAGGGCTAATTGCTTCCGATCCAACCGCTGGATTTAGTTCCAATGTATCTTGCCACTACCTATCATCCCTCCAATTTTCAGCTCCCTGCGCTCATTGGAGGCCGAGAAACGACTTCCGGAAGTTAGGGGTGGGTTTGTTTACTTAAGGCATAAATTCGGAAGTGGGAGTCTTAGGAGTCTGGGATTCTAAACTTAGGCTTCCCTTAACTAGGCCTACATCATACTAAAATTTGAGCCCAAAACCGCCGCTAGTTTCCGAGTTCTGATAGGGCTGTTTACACTTCCGGGGACCGTTATCACTTGCCCCCAGA